ACATTGTGAAATAAACAGTATTCATTTGATTTTGATTGACTTCTCAATATTCTGTTTTATTTGGATTAAACTGAACAAAACTTAATAGTAAATGTCTGCAAATGAAAAATACTGAATTGTGTCATGCTCATCTTGAAAAATTGTTTGAAAGTGGATGAAAGATGTCTAAAAACACCCAAATTATTGTCTGTCCTCCAATAAACCGCGAATAAAACACAAGTCATGTGCTCTTTACTAAAGCTTTTCTATTATTCAGGTAATATTTCATCACAGTACAGCAGTGAATACTGGAAGTTGCCAGCATTCATCATTTCTTCTCCAGGGGTAACGCCTCCTCACTTGGTTGACAGACGCAGGATGTGTTTGACCATATTTCCAATCCCATCAAATATATAGTGGTAGTGATAGTCTGTTTCCCACATGAAGGATGGAGTGCTGACCACTTTGTTCTTCTCGTCCACATAGGCTTCGTGAACGGAGGAGTTAAGGCCCAAAGCAGATGTTAAATCAGGTCAGTTTTTAACTCACATCTATCAGAAACAGAGGCCTCTGAAAGGATATGTATGGCTCACGGACATTGTGGCGAGCGCCCATGCTCTTCACGGTCTGCACCATGTTTGTGTGAGGCCAGTTGCCCCAGCGGGTGTTCTCATCACGTTCGTAGCCCATGGTCACCTCAATGCTGGGCAGAGCACGGCAGGCCAGCACAGGAGCCATGCTGGCCAGGCTGAAACAAAGAATTAATAATAAAATCTCTGTTATCTATTTTATTCAAATAAATGATAAACATGGGTCAGAAAACTTAATGAATCCCCATGTTAGGTGCTTGTTGGCCCCTTGAAAGGAATTTCAAAAAACGGACAATGATTGCTGTGTCACTGACAATAAAAAGGCAATGTGATGGTTTGCTAAATTATTTTTAAGTCATTCATTGTATAAATTATTCAGTAATTTAGCAGAAATGAATAATAAATATGAGGCAAACTGAGGAGAAAATCTAGTCAGGAATGGTTAAAGGCAGAGAGGATTGCTGTTCTGTTTTATATTTCATAAATAACAATAAAAACAACTTTTGACAGAAATAACAAGACAACAAGACTTACAGCTGTTCTCATGCTGAATAATGTCCAGATAATGTGTGTATGTCACATTTAACATTTTACTTTTCTCTTATATCTTTTATTTTCAGAAAGATCATTAAATAAAATGTATTACCTTGTAATAAATATTTCTGTATATTACTTTTGTTTTGTTCACAAACTCTATCTTCCATAGAAAGAGGCCAGCAGAGGTCAGCATACTCTTTAAACCTCTGTTGTCAAGGTAACTGCCCCTCCCCTCCTCCTCACCATCCTGCTCCAGTTTTCCTGTAATCCCAAATCACCTTCTACCTGGAATATTCTACTCTTCACCTTTCACTGTCGGCAAAGTGTCTGTTTGAATCTGCCTGAAGCTCTTGTTCCATCTCTTTAACTCCAAATTCAATAACACAATGTCTGATCTCAAGGCCACATACTGTAAAATAAAAATAAAATAAAATAGAATACGATTTATTAAATTTAATTTAATAAAATGAAATTAAATTAAAACAGAAAACATTTTAAGAATAAAGAAGGGGTCATCTTCAGGTAAATCCGGAACATTAAAGGTAAAATATTGATAAAAAAAACTTGTGGAGACAAGCTGCTCATTGAGGATTTGTACTTGGGGAAAACATTTCACTGCGCTGCTCCACGGGTTGATTTCTAACTTTAAACTTTGAATAGTTGCGCCGTTTTTAAATTTACTCACAATGATCATCTCATTTTAACAAAACACTTCTACAAAGGTGCATTCAAAAGCAGCCAGACTCCTTTTTGATAAAACGAAGAAAATAAATAAATAAATAAAAGAAAACAAAACTGAGACAATGGTTGTTGGTGGCTCCACTGAGACCCCCAACATAGAAGTTGGTTCTCTGGCCCGATACATTACGCCAACCCGTACTAACCGTGGGGTCATAGTGGATGCTGGACCAAAGTTAGACAACCACATTAGATCAGTTGTTAAGTCTAGCTTTTTTCATTTAAGAAAGCTGGCAAAAGTAAAGCCCATCCAGTCCCAGAAGCATTTTGAAACAGTAATCCACGCCTTCATCCCGACTCAGCTGGACTACTGTAATGGTCTGTATGCTGGAATAAGTGCACCAGTATCTCTTGGCTTTGGAGAGTACAAAATGCTGCTGCTCGCCTCTTAACAGGCACAAGGAAGTAACATCTCCCATGTTATGGCCTGTTTGCACTGGCTGCCTGTGCCTTGCCTTACCTGTGTGACCTGCTACACCCATACATCCCCTCTCGTTCCCTCAGGTCAGTGGGTCAGCTGCCCAAAGACAAAGTGTAAGCCTCGAGGAGATCGTGCCTTTGCTTTAGCAGCTCCTAGATTGTGGAATGAGCTTCCTTTAAATATCAAACAAGCCTCTTCACTGTCAAAACCCACCTCTTCTCTCTGGCCTTTGACACTACCTGAGATGTTGACTTTTAACTAGTTTTAGATCATTTTTACTATTATTTAAATGCATTTTACTTTGCTTCAACCAAATTGTAGTCTGCTCAGTTTATTGTGTTAACTCTTTGGTTGTTTTATTACTCTACGTTCTAGGATTTTATTGTTGACTGTCGTTTTTATTTGTTCTGTCTACAGCGCTTTGGTCCTGCGGGTGTTTCAAGTGCTATACAAATAAAGTTGGTATGGTAATAAAGAAATAGTTAGAGAATTTCGACACCTTTTTACTGGCGTTGTTCCTACAGGTGAAGGAGTTTGTCATTCTTCTAAATTGTTTCATCACTAACTTTCTCCTTCAAAACGTCAATTGACTCCTCCTCTTTCTTGGCATTAACAGCAAAAGGGATTAATCTTGGGATGTAAGCAAGAAGTCAGCATACACTTTAACCTTCTGTTGTCATGGCGATCCCCTCCTCAGCATCCTGCTCCACTCTTCCCTGTAATTCCTGTAATCCCACACCTCCTTCTACCCGGAATCCTCTATTCTTCACCTTTCACCCTGTGCCCTTTCACCTGACCTTGTCACAGGTCGCCACGGTGACTGCTCATCACCTCATCCATCCGGCTAAGACCAGTCATTTTGTAGCAGATCTCATTAGGTTGGACCGTTTGTGTAGGAGTTTTTGTTTTGCCCAGCCTGCCTTAAAGGATTTGTCTGCTTTCAAGTTGCCCAGGATGAGCTTAAAAGCACTAAAGGCTATTTTTACTACTTCTGTCCTACTTGTTGTCTGCTACGCTCAGAAAGAGCCAATATGAGGAATTTAACCTTGCAGCTTCAAAAAGGCAACAGCTGATCTGACAGTTTATGAAGCTCTTTATAAACAAACAGTATCAGTTGCCAAGCAAAGCCGTCTTTAATATCTATTTGGTGGAAGATAAATCAGATTTTCCATGTGTAAACAAAAAGGTGTTGAGATGCTTTAGGTTTTGTTATACTAGAGTAAGCTTCTTTAATTGGCTCAACAAACTTGGGGGGCAGCAGTTGGGCTAATGGTCCTTTTATCGTTCTATTATTTCTTTAAAAATAAATGCTGCATAAAACAACAAGATCTGGCCATTGATGAAATCTACAACATACATGATTTTACTCGTGATTATGATAATATCATTAATCATTTAGTGTGATTTCTCACAGCCTCTCATGGCCTAATTCTATTATGAGGATTAATTAAAGCTTCTGTGTTCACCTGTAGTTAAGGTGTCATCAAAACAAATAAAAATGTCAAGAGCAGACCCGTGTTTGAGTGAAAAAGGTTCATTTCGAGCACATTTTTAGCACTTCTGTTAATCTTAATGCTGATATTTGGTACAATGACCAAATGATACGTACCCAATGGGCTTGCGTGAATGGTGGAAATCTTTAAGAACTCGTTCTACGTCATTGTGCAGCTTACAGTCTTTGCCATCCTTCATAAAAGAGGATCTAAAGGTCAGGAATTTTGCAGTTAGTGACACATTATATGTATATATATAAAATAAACACAATTCTTTTTTACATTTGAAAACTCCTCACAGGTTCTTGATGATCCCATGACCTCCAGGAAAGATGACAGCATCAAAGCTGTTGACATCCAGAACGGACAGGTCCTGCATTTGCATCTTTCCCTGACCATGACTGAAGCGAGCCGACTCCATCATCATGTTCCTGATTACAAATGTGTTAACATGTGATGGGGGTTAGGTCAGGTCAGTCGGCTTTACGTGCAAAATGTAATCAACGGTCTCCTCAGCCCAGTGTGAGATTCCTACCGGTTCTCCCCTGAGAACGGCTGCTTTTTCATGTGATCCATCACATGCATCTGCTGCTGATTCGGAGCAAACATCTGGAAACGAGCTCCGTTTCGGCTCAGGTGGTACATGGTGCTGAGGAGAAATTTGTCACCATTTCTGTAAAATTACGCATTTATACAAATGTAAAACAAAATCCCTGATGTCCTGATACTCACTACACTCCTTCATGGACATCAGTTCCATCCCACCATCCACATCCTGAGAAAACCTAGAATACATTGATGCACAAAATCAGAACAGTTCTCCTCTTTTCATGGGTCGTGTAACAAGGAGTCAAACTTACCACTGCAACATTGGTGTTCCCCCAGGTGCCATGGTCACCGTGGTGAACAAAGCAGGCTGGCTGGCGAGAGAGAATTGCCAGTGTCTGTTTTGACAGCAAAGTCCTGGTTGCCAGCATATCTATGATCAAGTCTCACTTTTTGAGAAGAAAAAGTGTAAGTGAAGAGTTGGCAACCGAGCCTGTGAAGACCTCTGACGGCGCAGACATTTATCTCTCTGAGGACATCTGTATAAATACCCCAGGAGTGCGGTCAAATGACGCTCCCACATTAGCTCCATTGTCTTTTCACGTCTTGACTTGTTCCCTTCCTGAACACCCTTCCCTATTAATACCTTTTTAATTCTGATTACCTTAAAGCATTTGGCCACAGGGCAAAACTTCAGCCTCAATATCTTAACTCGTTAGGAATTTGGCACTTGATGAGTCGCATTGGTTGGGAAACTGTTCAACACCATTATGCAGGCATAGTAGTATGCCATATGCCCTTTAAAGTCCATTAGGTTGTAAGACTCTTACTCTCTGTAATGCCGTGTTGAGTCTAGACAGTAATCCAGAAATACCTTTGACAGAAAGAAAACTAACATTTATAGTAAAACTGCACATTCCATTTAGCAGGAGTCAAAATGTAGTTATAGATGAGCAGCAAGAAGCAAAATATGGCATTTATTTTATTATGGCCACTTTATGTAGAAACAATTGCTATTTACACATCAGTGAGGAGAGCACAGTGAGGAACAAAATGTAGAAAATGATAAAACAAAGTGCAATCAACTACAATCATCACACCAGCCACACGTTTAAGCCTCAGGAAGAACCTTGTGATGAGATTCTAGCTGATTATTTTCAAATGTGCATCCACCACAACCCGTAAACAGAAGACATTTACTGAACTTGTCATGTATGGTATTCACAAGGTACAAACAAGGTTTATTTTTAATAAAATACAATAAACATAACACAACCAACTTAGGATGTGAGGTTTGTTGCTGTAGCGGAACACCCTCTCTCTTCACCTGACTCACAACACAGCCAAAGACATTTTTTAAAAACGCCAAAGGCCCACCTCACATTTTTGGAAATGTCCTTATTGTTTCTAATACAGAGGTGAACAGAGAAGACTATGTTAGTGACTAATGTCTGCAAAGCAAAAGATAGAAGACAGCACACACAATAAATAAGGTCCATTTGCTTTTTTATATAAAATAAACATTTAAAACAATCTTGTCAGTGTACGTGTACATCAGCATTTATGATGTATCAAATTAAAATGCTGTGTTGTTTTAACAAAGCCCCATCATAGCCCTGTAACTGCAACCACTGACAACGTGCTGAAAGTTTGTTTCAACAAAAGCACTGATCAGGCTGTGGCTACCCCCCAATTTCTTCTTATGAGCAGTTTAATACTCTCTGCAGTTAATTTATCTTTACATGTAAGGACCAGATCCTAAAAGCCATTTACATGCAAATCACTAACCACTTCAGTGGGGAAAGTAAGAAATATCTCCTAAACTGCTGTCACCACTAAAGAAAGATTCCATGCACCCAAGCACTGTTATTCAAGGAAGCTGTGCACTAATGTGCACACGCTGTGTTTAATGCCAAGAAAATCTGCAGCAGTATCCGTTTGCTTAAAGAGTGTGGTTTTGCACATCGAGCAAAAAGCTGAGCTGAGAGAGAAATGTGTATGCAAAGGCAAGTCTGGTTGGATTAGGGTGTGTAGGCAGGTGGTGGTTGAAACTGATTAGCAATGTCATAATCAGCAGGGAAATTCTCACTGCTATCCTCCATCTCAGAGAGCAGCTCTAAGGCCTGCTCTTCCTCTTCAGTGGGGTAGTGGCGAAGAAGGTTTGCAGCTGTGGCGAGGATGGATGCTCCACCCGCACCTGCCACCAGGTAGAAGCTGATAGCAAAAGTGACATATATAAGTGAACCGTGGTACTTCTTGTGCTGCTGCTGAAGGGACAAGATCAGCTCTGAGGCCCAGTAGCAAAAGCCTATGACTGTGGCACACTGCAACACTAGAAGGAAAAGGAAGTCTGTTAGCACAGGTAAATATGCAAAATGTTTTGTGTGTAAATGAAAGGTTTGTACCTGTGAGTATATGGGCAAATGCATATCTACGAGTGATCTTTAGGGCAGGGTGTTTCGGTCCAAACACATCTAACAGAAAAGCAGTTAGACTGCATAGGATGCCCAGGAAACAAAAGGCAGCTATGACCCTCAACAGCAGGATGGTCTGCGGGTTCACACAGTAATCTGAGGATACAGAAACGTCAAAACAAACAAAAACCATTACGAGTCAAAACAATGATCGATAATTGCTGGTTGTAAAGTAATTGTGCAGGTTCTCACCATCTAGAAGCTTTGGATCAATGTAACCCAAGACATCCGCAACCCCCAGCTCCTGCCTGGGACAGGCGCCCCCATGAACACGCACCCAGGCCGGCTCAGCCAGAGCCGTACACAGCGCTGTGATGGACAAAGCTCCGGGCAGCGCTGACACCAGGCTGCGCTCCGGCTGCTTGGGCAGGGAGGTGGCAGTTCTTCTTCTCCGGCCACCAGGTACGGTAGAGCCCGGCGGAGCATACATGATTACCAAATCTCTGTTTTTGTAGGAAGTGTTGGTTCCCTTGTCTGTCCTTTTCCTTAAGGTTTATAACTGGGATTAGCCGCCTGACACAGCTGTCAGTCGGTACAGCTGATTTTACTTGTAGTGTTAAAGGATGATAGCGGTCCAGGCGACTTGTTAGATGAAAGATATACAATACTTCCGTACGAGAACCAGCTGCTCGATAAAAAAACAGGATCTGGCTGACGAGGAAACAAAAGACAGATGGCCTTCAGGCCTGTTAGCTGTACTGTTAGCCCGATTAGCTAATTCGCAGTAAACGTCAAATATAATAAATTCTTATGACAGGATTAAAACGAATACAAAAAAAAAACATATAAACGCCAACCTAGAACCCAATCTTTACAACAACAATAAATAAAAATATATTGTTTTAGTTACAGAAAAACAAACAGAAAACAAAACAAAAGACAGCTTACGCTGGTTTCCTCTAAAGCATTGACTTCCTGTTTCCACCGGGTTTCGTCGTAGCTACAGTAGAACCTGTGATCACTAGCCCCACCTACCGGTTAAAAAAACTACACAACGATGAAAACTTCTCTGCATTTACCATAGACTTTAAATCTTATACATAAATCTCGCTTTTTTTATGAATAATTATATATTTTATTACGACAACTGAATTTGTTTCCGTTTATTTAAAAAAAAATATATTTAAGTTTGTTTTTAAAGGAAGACGGAAGCCCACAGTGTGCACTTCCGATAAGCAAAGATGGCGGCACGTCAGTTGTGGATGTTTCTATGAACTTCTTTAATTTGCTCTTTATTGCAAGTTAATTCCTTATCTTCTCAAAATATGTTAATAGTGATAGTGGCTCTGCTGCTTTGATGGGTTTTGTTTGAGTTTCTTATCGGATTTTTCTGGGAAGGAAAAGACAAAAGTGACGAGACCTGTTAACTAAATATTTAATAGTCATTAAGTCAGTATGAAGGAGACTCTCACGCTGCTTCACAGGCTCAGCGCACACCCGGACTCTCGGTGTTGGTTTGTCGCTTGGAGCCCAAACGGGACTCTGCTGGCTTCGTGTGGCGGGGACAAGGCCATCCGGATCTGGGGACGCGAAGGTAGCCTGTCATCTCTTTCTCTCTCTTACACACACACACACACACACACACACACACACACACACACACACACACACACACACACACTCTGATTATTAGTTATCTGTTGGTAAAATAATTAATCTATTGACCTCGGTGACCCCCTCTATCCGTAGGAGACTCCTGGGTTTGTAAGAGTGTGCTGGAGGATGGACACCAGCGCACCGTGAGGAAAGTGGCCTGGTCTCCATGTGGAAATTATTTGGCCTCTGCCAGCTTTGATGCAACTACATGCATCTGGAAGAAGAATAACGAGGGTTTTGAGGTTAGATGAGACCTCTGTTGTTCAGTGGTGTGATTAAAAAAGCATTTAACCGTGAACTTGACACATTTGTAAATGTCTTTATAGAGTTTGACAGTGTTGGAGGGACATGAAAATGAGGTCAAATGTGTGGCGTGGGCTCCATCAGGGAACCTCCTGGCCACATGCAGTCGAGACAAAAGCGTTTGGATCTGGGAAGGTTTGTGTTTATTTACACATGTAATAAATACAATTTGATCAGATCTGGTTAATAGGTGTTTTCCCTCTGTCCCACAGTGGATGAAGAAGATGAGTATGAGTGTGTCACAGTTCTAAACTCTCACACACAAGATGTTAAGCATGTAGCGTGGCACCCGACCCGAGAGGTAGACTCAGATCTGTAGACATTATCTCCATCTGTAGCTCCATTCTCATTTTTGAGGTTATTGTCTGTTTCCTCAGCTCCTGGCTTCGGCCAGCTACGACAACAACATTTGTATTTACAAGGAAGAAGACGATGACTGGGAATGTCGCGCTACTTTGGAAGGACACACCTCCACCGTCTGGAGTTTGTGCTTTGATGCAACTGGACAGAGGATGGCGTCCTGCAGCGATGATCGCACTGTGAAGATTTGGAAAGAATATCCCTCTGAGAGTGGTCAGTAGTTATGAACAGTTACACCGAAGCCATTTATTTACAAACAAATCCTTTTTTTTACCTGCTCTGTATGTTGAAAGGTGACACGTCCTGGAAGTGTGTTTGCACTCTGTCTGGGTATCATGGACGAACAGTGTATGATGTGTCCTGGTAAGACTGAACTTCTATCAGTGATCTGAATGAATTACCTTCAAACTGACTTAAACACCATTTGTTCAGGTGTCCGCTGACTGGCGCCCTGGCAACTGCCTGCGGTGACGACGCAGTTCGAGTTTTCAGAGAGGACGTGACCTCTAATCCAGAAGAACCTGTGTTCTCGCTGGTTGCTCAGGTAACCAAAGCTCACAACCAGGACGTTAACTGTGCTTCCTGGAACCCGAAAGAAGCTGGAATTCTTGCCTCCTGCAGCGACAACGGAGAACTTGCCATTTGGAGGTTCAAAGAAGACTGATTCAGTGACAAATGCACCGAAGTGCTTTTGGTTTTAGATCTCATACTGGGAACTTTATCTTTAAGGCACCACATCTGTTATTTCATGGCTTGATTAATCTCGTTTTAATTTTTGTGATCGGAAAACCGCTGCAGCTCATCTTGTACAATTTTTAAAAATGGCTTAATCAAACATGTTTATGAATAAATACAAAAACACAAGACTGTGTGGTTTCATTTTAATAAAAAGAAAAGAACATGCCAGACAATAGATTCTTAAAAACATGTTTACTAATCTAGAGAAAACCATTTTACATCTGCAATGTAACTTTAGACATAATCTGAAGCCAAATTGTTGCATCTTTTATTTTAAAAAGCAAACCTGACAAGAAAAGTACAAAATTATGCTTCCCATACTTAAAGCAGTATTGTCAGTGGATCCAGCTGAATCCAAAACATGCATTTCATTTTTAATACGGAAAACAGATCCTGCACACCAATTTTGGACTGTTTCATCAATCGGGTCACTAAAAAAAACTGACATACTTTGGGCAAAAGTGAGAAGTTTAAATTCAAAGAAACAAATCAGGTTGAATATCTACAAAACACCCATTGATTCCCTCTCAAACGGAGACAACACAGTATTCAGTAAAACTTAGTCTGAGTCACTTTCTCCCTCGCTGTCGGCCTCCTTCACATCCACACTGAACTTGTACTCCTGGTCACAACCCATGTACGCATCACTCATGAAGTACAGGGTGTAGTGGTGAACGCCCACTGCAGGTGCAACAAAGTCCAGCTTCACCTGTGGAGGAAGTACAGAAGAAAACAGGAAATGAGGCCTTCTACTGGGAAGGGGAGAACATTTCTGCTGTATTACACCGACCTTTGCTTTCTGCTGAAGAGTCAGCCTCTTGATGGAGATGAGGCTGTTAGACTTGGGGTCTCCAATAACGACCCACCAGCCCTCCTCACGTTTCTGCAACAACAAGAACACGTCACCACGATCCACTTTTACACACCGCTGAAACAAACGGGATCTTTGGTGAATGACGGAACAAACCTGAGGGAAGAGTGGCGCAATAACCGGACCAGTCACCTCCTCCTCTCGCTCCAGCTGCACCTGAACCAGAACTGAACTGCCGCTAAGAAAAACAAGTTCACAATGTTAACCGATGTTAATCGATTCAATTGATCCTCAACCGTAAAACTTAATTATGCTTTCAAAGCTTACATAAATAAATCTGCTGAGAAACACAAACCTTTTGACATTGTCCCTCTCTGCTACTTCATAGGACAGCTCAATGTTGGGGTAACGGTTACAGAAGCGAGCCACATCAGCCATCTGGTTGTCTGACAGCTGCAGCAGACCGGATCTGTCCTCATCCTCCATTTCCATTATGTCAAAGATACTGTCCACACCCTAAAGAGAGCAACAAGGGATGTTTTCATCTACGTTTGCTTCATTCATAACCAAATGTTAATACCAACTAACCTTGTCAGTACAACGCTTGATGTGTTCGGAGGTAAAGTGAGGCAGCTGCTTCAGATACGAGTCCTTGGACCACATGGCCTGGGTGACCATCTGGGCCAGCTCCATAGCGGCTAGAGCGGGACTCAGCCAGCCGTTACTGGACAACACGTCGACACAGGCCTGAATCAGACGGATCGCCTACAAACAAACGCTCTCGTCACATAAAACACGCTGGGATCAAATACAGAAACGTGGCTGAGTCACAGCAAAACATAGTATTCAGGGATCTGAACCTTGCTGAGGATGTCTTCGGTGTCCGACTGGAGTTCAGCACTCAGCTGCATCCTGGATAGGTGAGCTTGCAGCAAAAGGTTTGTCTTCACATGGGGGTCGTTGAACTTCGGATTGTTCAGTTTGTGGGGCACTTTCTGTGCCAGCTGAAGGAAAAAGCAGCTCAAAGTTAAAGATGTTGCAGCACAAAAGGCACCTACACACTGGGTCAGTACCAGACCGGAATTTGGTTTCACACCTGGGTAGGGCTGGGCCTAACCCAATTTATCGTTATTGAAATTTCTGACAGAATTTTTCCCATATCAATAAATTTGATAATAAAAAAAGAAAAGATGTGTATAGGTTGGCAATGTTAATGTCCCTTTAAGAAGCGGTACCACCTTGAGTCACGTAAATATGTGACTCAACGTAAAACATGTGACAGCCCCATGTAGTGGACAACTTTTGTTTATGCACATACATGTAGTTATCGTTCATTTATCGTTATCGAGGTGAAATCCTCAATATATTGTGATACTGATTTTAGGTCATACCGCCCAGCCCCACACTTGGGCCACTTATGAGTTTTCTGTTCTGAGGTACCTCTTTTTTTCAGACCTCTTCCTCAAAGGACCGACTGGGACCGAGGTGACACTACGGACTGATTGGCTGACTGAAATGATCATCTACTGCCTCAAGTAGAATCAGCCAGCAGGGGGTTTACGCATGAACATCCTGGATGTTGTTGAGTAAACATCTCAGTCTGTAGCACAGAGCTCCCGGAAGAGAGAGTCGTGTATGTCCTCTGAGCAGCGAACATCTCTGCATGAAGCTCTTGCTACAGCTGCTCAATGGATGGAGAGAGCAGCGAGCGTGTGTGTGTGTGTGTGAGTGGAATTTGAGGACATGCACAGCAGTGAGAGAACAGGGAGCACATTAATAAAAGAATGTGCTTCGGTGTCTCCAAAAGCAACACAGCTCACACCTGCCTTTGCTTATCTTAATAAGAAGGACACCACCAGCGCATTTTAAACGCCGCCCACGTGCTCGGGGATTTCTGCATTCTCGAGAACTCCTTCGGGAACACTACACTGCCCGTATGAGACCCAACTGACGCTATCCTCCCACAACCGTACTGACCCTAAAGTGTAAGCGGCAAAAGACGCTACTCTAACGTGGACTTGTGTCGGTGTGTTTACCTGTCGGAGGAGCATGTCCTCGTGGTGCCTGATGGGAATGTTCTTATATTCAGCTGCGTTAGAGATGATTTCAATTAATCCTCGACTCTTGGTCTTGGCATTCAGGGACATGCTGAATAACTCTGTTGAACAACAACAAAAACTTTGCTGTGAAGTCTGAGGTCCAGGAAGCAACATAAACCCCATAGAGAGGTGAGTGTAGCTACAAACCAATGGTGGTGTAGTTTATGTAGTAATAAGCTGCGATCATGCCCAGATTGAGGGGTGCAACATCCATCTCGTCCTCGATGCTGATGCACTTGGACTGCTCCAGGTCATGTAACGTGTTCTCCACCAGCTCAGACAGGTGGTCAGACAGGTGGCGATGGGACATGCCTGCCACAGAACATAAGACTCAACAAGAAACCCCTAAGCCTGGTCTGGTCAAGTGTGATGTGGTCTCTGCCTTAAAGGATGCTAACCCTGCAGGTTGTAGTAGTTGGGGTTCTGCGTCATACGGCGGTAGAGGAACGTCCACGTCAGGTAGTCTACAGCGTCCTGCTTGTTCTCCACCGTCTTGGTGACGATCTCAGCGTTAAAGTGGTCATGAAGACAGTGATCCAAGTGAGACTCCACTGGCAGGGGCTCGTACAGGAACTTCTTGAAGAAGTCCTACAACAAAAACAGATAACCTGTTTAGTTCAAGTATTTTTACAGTAATTGCTTTTAAAACAAAACCAACGCATGTTCGCACCTTCTTGGAGCCCTGACACATGATGACACAGCGTCCCTCATCATCCAGCATGGGTCTGTTTGCCTTTCCCACCATCTGGAGAACATCATATATGGGATAGTCCACATATCTGAGAGAAATGAGAGAACGTGTCATCAAAACAGCACATTAAATTCATTATTGTAGACATTTTTTCAAGTCAACTTAAATCCTTACGCATGGATTTTTCCATTGTAGTATTGGGTATCCATGACGATGACGAGGTGTGCAGAAACGCTGATGCCCCAGCAGAGCGAACGTGAAGACACCACCACCTGAATGGCACCTGTACAAGAAAGAAACCCCTTTTCTGGTTTGTTTCTCAGCTCTGAGCGACCCAGGTGTAAAATAAAATTCATACCCGAGTTGAAAAGCTGCTCCACGATTTTGCATTCAGTTGCAGAGAGGCCCTCATGCAGGTATCCCACGCCGTTGGCCAGAGTCTCTTTAAGAGTCCCGTCGTTTATCTTCTCAAGGAACGGAGTCAAGTCTTTTTCGTTACAATGCAAAAACCTGATAAGACCAAGAATTTTTCAGAACACCAAGTAGAATAATCTCAAGATCAAAGACTGATGAGCTGTGACCGTACAGTCTATGGCTGTGACTGACCTCTGAGGAACAACATCAGCAGCACAGAAAGTGAGGATGTCGATGGCGGTGAGGCGGGTCTGCCTGCGGGACGGGACAAACACCAGCACTGGCTTGGAGGGAGAGTGCCTCATGATGGCGTGGTACACCGGTTTGGCCATGGACAGCAGGCGAGTCTGAGTGTGGCTGACGTTGAAACCCTGCAGCAACAAGGCGACAGGAAGTCAGGAATCTGGAAGGTGTTTAAATAGTTCTTTCCAATGGTAAAATTTGTGCAAAAGCTTTTCAGACCTGGATGTGCAGCTCAAGAGGAACAGGTCTGACATTGGGGTGGAAGTTGAACGTAGCTGTGGTGCTGCAACCCAGCCAGTGGGCCACATCTTTAGCATTGGACAAAGACGAGCTTAGGGCCACGATGCGGATTGGACGCTCGATTTGAGAAGAGATGTATCTCATCCTGGAGCAGATGACCTCCAACACAGGCTGATGAAATAAACAAAACTCCGTCAACATGCTTCACTAAACACAGAAACAGCTAAAAATCAGCTGAGCAGGATGAGATACTTACTCCGTTTTCTCCTCCGATGAGGTGGGTTTCATCCACAATGAAAAGGCTGACATTCTGCACATTCTTCCTCTGTTTCCAGCGACGAGACAGGATGTCCCACTTATCAGGAGTGCTGACAATAATGTCCCCCTTCCCCAGGAGCTTCAGATCTGTGCTGGTCTCTCCAGTCAGCAGAACTACCTTTTTGTTCAGAATGTCCTGGAACTTCTGGTGCCAGTCCACGAACACCTGGGAGACGAGGATCATGGTATTGGATAGGAACATTTCCTGTGTTGTATCTGACATAAATGTGAAAACAATGCTAGTTTTGATGCACAGACTCCTTACCTGCTCAGCCAGCGCTTCCATTGGGGTGATGTAAACACAGCGACCTTCTGCGCTGTGCAGTAGCATTCTCAAGATAGCAAATTCTGCACAGATGGTCTTTCCACTGCCAGTCGGAGCTCCCACAAAGACATTATCATCACTGTTGTACAAAGCGTTGAAGACTGCAGAAAAAGAGAAGTATGAGTGAAGCAGAGTGCACTGATCAGAAATGCCAGCGTATAAGGAGTCTTTGTACCTTGTGTCTGAATGGGGTTGAAGAAGGGGAACTTGTTTTGATAAAGAGCCTCAAAAGCTGAATTCCTGAGAGCGGTGACAGGCAGCGGCTGCAGATCCAGCAGCTCAGTGGGTGGGGGGTACTTCTCTGGTAGGATAAGATGGCGGAAGGATACAGGAAGCTGAGTCTCACAGGCTGAGGGAAAAAACAGAAGAACGGTTTTATAAAAAGCACAAACATCAGGAAAGTCCTGCAAGATGCTGGAATTAAAAGTTACTTACAGAGCCATCGGTCTGAAACCACACGGATAAAGTACTGAGGAGGCAGAGGCTCAAACACCGGCACAAAAAACGTCACCAGGTGCTCGTCCTGCGCGTACTTGGCTTTGAGGAGGAAGTACTCGTGGTGGAGGATGACCTCACTGTCCACGTCCTCAACCAGGATCCAGAAAGCTTCAGAAGATCCGTGAATCTAAGTAGGACATTTTAAAAATAAGAACAAACAAGAACCTAGATCAGAGTCGAGTCATGTGCATTAAGTTTACTGACCTTATCATCCCACTGGAAGTCTGGCGTGACAGTGAGCTCCACTTTGAGCGTGGAGCGAGTGATGGGCTGAATATGCACAGCCAGGTCCAGTTTGGGGAACTGGTGGACGTATTTGTGAATGGTCTTTCCCATTTTTGGCATTCGGATCAGCTCACCTGAACAATGAGGAACATGACGAGGTTATGACAAGGATAAGCAAAAGTCGTGAAAAGGAAAAAAAAAAAAAAGAAAAACCTCACCAATCTCATTGTGGTTGAGATCATAGAGCCGCTCAAACGGGAAGTTTTTCTTCTCAATCTTCTTCACGACCTCCTCTGGGAGCTTCTTGAACTGCCGCAGAGGAGACATGGACTGCCACCTGCAGAGCACAGACTCAAATCTGTGAGATGTTGACCTCACTACAACAAACATGTTTATGTAGGAGTAAAAACACACATACATCCTCTTGTCAATCATCTTGCAGAGGTTCATGGTCTTGTCTGTGAGCTGAGCCCAGCCGCGGTTTAGCACAATCTCAAATATGGCTCTCATTAGCCGCCCGGCACTCTGAAAGAACAAAAAAAAAAAATGCTATAAAATAAAGAAAATTATTTTATGTACAAGGACACACAAAAATAAATGACTAGTAATGCTTTGTTGAGTGTCATTTTTAAACATTAAACTAAAGAAAACAAGTTTAAAGCAGCATCTGAGCACGCGGAAGCTGGTCTTTCTGTACCTGAGTAACATAAACCATGTCCGCCATGAGAGCAAAGCCTTCCAGTTTGAGCTGAGAGATGTACGCCTGGAGCAGAACGTTAATCTGAAACAAAAATAGTTTAAGAAACTCATTCTCTGGGATTAGAAAATGCACAAATACATTTATTTATTCTGTGTCAGGTTAGTGTGTTACCTTAGCGCTAGGCTCCTCGATGCTCTCCTTCACAGGAATAGGAACTCTTTCCAGAAGTTTCTGAAGTTCCAGTTTTTCCTCCTAATAGAAAAAGTTTACTATTAAAACACTGAATTGAAAAAAGAAACTTCATGTGTATGAAACGGCTACGACATACCTCTCTTACTGTGATGTTCCTGAACTCTGAGGAAAGTGAAAAGACTCGGAAAAGTTCAATCTCGCTGAGAGTCGGCTTCAGCAGCTGGTTGTAGGTCTGAATGGAATCGTGAGTGATGTAGAAGTGGCTGGCGATGCGTCCCAGGTCTGTAACCTTTGTGGCAGCAGACACACACACAAACATAACTAACTCACCAGCACCAGAACCACAAGCAGGGGGCGCATCAACAGGTTATTTTACTTTCACCATTTTTCTTTTAAACGGTGATGAAAAAAACCTGAAATCCACTCGTCAGATTACAAATCAGGTGAGGTGGAGAAAAAAAGATGGCGAGTTCTGTGGTGTCACTCACAAACGCTGACACGGAGAAGTGACGTAATAAAAGAGAAATCCATCAGAAAATCTTTAGCTCTTTTTAAAAGACAAATCTGCATAATACCAACGGTGTGTCTTATAAACGCGCCACGCCGGCATGGCGATGTGCAAATTTTGCAGCATTCCTTCTGCCTCGCTTGGTAGTAATATTGCGGTAATTGTCTGACTTCTGAACAGCGATTGCACCTTGGTGCAACAGAGGGAGGTGTCATGATGACATGGCGAGTTACTGCCGAGCTCTGGCCGACAAATATTTTGAAAATGAAAGTGAACACGGGACGTAAGTTTTTCTTTTGTAAACAGAATCAGCTGAGATGTTAAACTGAAGCGATGCAGCACTCCAGGAGCTTCTCTCCATTAGAGCCGGAGGTCAGATCACCAGAGGCTGCACAGGACTGGGGGACACACACCTTTAGGAGCGGCTGGTTAAAAAAACTTAATGATCGCAGCTTCCATTGCAATAAAAAGCTAGTTATGTCCAAGATAAACGGAAGCCCGTGGCAGCACAGACACCGCCCCATACCTCCTTTATGCCGACATCGCCTAATCTTTTATAAAAAGGACGCGATTGCGCCACATTACCACCATGACCTGACCACTTATAAATAGGGCTGGGGGTAAACGATTATTTTTAAAACGATTATTCTGACGATTATTTTATCGAATAGTCGACTATTCTAATGACTATTTATACAATTAATCTAATGATTATTTTTCTATTGCACAGTTAATAAAAACCAAAAAATCTCTAATAAATTCCTCCAAAAAATTGATTAATTGTTACTGTAAGAGAATAAACACTACAGGCCTCCCATTTTGTATAACACTGCTTTTATTGTGTTGGTTGGTTATGTTCTGGTGACGTGTAGAACTTGGGAGTGCAGGCTGCTGCCTGAGAGGTGGTTGGAGACGGAGTGTCTCCATGCTGCTTCGTCTTGGTCACTTATGTGCGTGAGGCGAGTGGTGTTACGACTCTTCCTGGGGAGTTTGGCTCGTGTGCAAAAAGGAAGGGACAATAATGTGGGATTTAAAAGTTAAAATGATGATCGGGTTTATTTACAACTACAAAAAACCAAATCTTTCCATCCACAGGTTGGGAGTAATAAAACTAATTCTGCCTGTGGGGAATTAAAACAAAAGTACAGATAACTAGGGATGTCCCACTGTGCAAAGATTACAGGGTTTTGGACCAAAATAAGAATCTCCAAAGTTCCAAACTCTAAACTGGGCGGTTAAACCAAACTCAAGGTGATATTTTAAACTAAACCGAAAACCCAAAACACTAAATGTAACAAAAGGGAGATTTTATTACATTTAGACATTTATTAATTTGTACCACAAATTATTATTTTTTATATGTGTTCAACATATTTAAATATCGCTTGTTTAATTAACCAACATTTCTAGTGTACAGCGCCTTGTTTGGTTGTAATGCCTTGTTAATGCGCTTTATAAATAAAATTGGATTGGATTGGATTGAAAAAAGATGAACTCTAAACCAAAACGTAACAGCTTATCCAAACGCAAGAAGCGGTTAGCGAAAATGCTAACAGTAGCTTTACCAACGTTAAGTTGCCAAGTTTAAATAAACCAAAAACACCCAGCAGCAAACAGACCAGCTCGGAGGAGAGACTGCTACCACCAAAACAGCTCTCCTAATGTCTGAAAGAAGCTCCTTTATGAAGGGAGAAACGCTCCCGGTGATTTTCTACATCTGCTATAGAGACGGAGCAGCGCATTTGACCCCGGAAGTTGTTGTCCGTTGCCGGGAAACGAAGGCGGGCAAAACAGGAAAGGAACCTAGTAGCGGATGGACATTGTTCCGGGTCTTCGGTATTTGGCGGAGATGTTAGTGAAGGCGGAGAAGAGGGCGAACTAGAGGAAAAACAGGCAGATTCCACCTCTATTTACAAACTCCTGGGGATGCAACAAGTGGGCGCGGTGCGTCGACTACCGGATCTGACGTCGACGAATTTTTAGAATCGAGCCGTCGACGTCATCGAAGCTTCGCTACAGCCCTACTTATAAATGACCCAAGGCTCCCTGATGCTGAAACGGAGTTGTGGAAAATAAATGGCATTGTTTAGTGAAGACGGCTTTGGCAACATTTGTATATTTAGTGGCTGACAGCACATTGGAGAGTTATGGAAAATAGGCTCTGTGGTGACAACAGATCACACACTGGTGCAGGTGAACTACTGATACTTCAGCAGTGCACGCTGCAAGATTTCCTCCCACTAAAGCAAGTGCTTGTGGGATCAGGAAACTCCTGGTTCAGAGAGTCTTGCGGACTTCTGATCTCAGTTTATGAAACTTTAACTGAAGTGGCGTTTGTAATCGACGTCTTTAGTGATGCAGCTGAGTGTGGATTCAGCCTCCAGAACACGAAACAGCCACAAGGATTCGTCTGTCAGAGACACAGGCCCAGGACCTCTGCAGCAATCCCACCTCAGACATGTGATGACTATCCATAAGCAGGTACTGGCATTCCACAAAGACCAGGAGAAAGTAGTGAGATAGCAGGTGAACCGTTTTTATTTTTAAGTGTAATCATTTTATTTATTTATTTGTAGCTACTGGGGCCAAGGTCAGTGGTTTTTGTCACTGCAGAGACAAAGTTACAAGCATCCATCTGTATGAAGGTCTGTTCAGCCGGTTAGATCTGGACAGTAATTTGCTCACCTGGAAGCTTCCTGTCCTTTTGTCATACTTGATGAGGCTGTTCTTGTCCAGGATGTTGGCGGCGGTGTGCACCAGGTCCGTCCTACGCCTCTCCAGCAGCGGGTCGGAACTCCGGTCGTCATGGGAAACACCATACAAGGTGGGGTTGCGCAGCATGCGCACGTACAGATAGGTGTAACCCAGCCAGTTCACAGCATCCTGCAGTTAAATAGAAAAAACTTTAATTATCATGAAAGTAAAATATTAACTTCATTCTTGTGTAGGTTTCAGTCACTAACCTTGACATTCTGAACATTTCCCAGCACTATCTCTGCGTTGAGCATGTCAGCCAGTTTGCCCACCATCTGACTCTCTATGGGCAGCTGCTGGTTCAGGAGGGACAGATAGTACTGCAGCTCTCCATGGGAGGTGATCAGGATTCCCTCTCCTTTGGTGTCATACTGAGGACGGCCAGCTCGACCCAGCATCTGAAATCAAACATTTATTTCCGTCACCGCTGTCAGAAGAGCTACATATGACTGCAGACAGTAGAAACCAACCGACCTGTAAAATGTCCAGGGCTCCCAGTTCAGTCCACCGGCCTTTCTCTGGGCTGTAAACCTGGGTTCCTTTGATGATAACAGTATGTGCAGGCAGGTTGACACCCCAGGCCAGGGTGGCTGTCGATACCAGAACCTGAATGTGTTTGTCTGCAAATAAATCCTCCACCAGCGTACGGTCGACTCGGGTCATGCCAGCGTGGTGGATCGCAAACCCGTACGGAAGCAGATCCTTGAGCTCCAGGTTCTAGAAGAAAAAGATTCCATCACTCAAGTCCAACGCCTCACACCAGAAAGGTCTTTAAGTTCTCATTTCCTTACTTTGCATTGCTCTGCCTCTGTTCTCAACACTTCAGTGGATGCTGAACCCTCTCTGAGGAAAAGACCCAGAGTGTCCTTCTCCAAACACATGTCCCTTATGGCCCTGGCCGTCTTTCCCGTCTCTTTCCTGGAGTGGACAAATACCAGAACCTATGGAGGGGGGAAATGAAGATGTTAAAGTTGACAGAGTAAATAAACAAGAAATAAGATGATAATAAACTGGGGGTCAGAGGTCAGACAGAACTCACCTGGTTCTTTCCAGCATGTTCCATTATCTTTTCGTAGACGATCTCATTCATGATCTGAAATCGCTTGATGGCCTTCTTTTCTGTTATTCCGACATATGTCTGCTCCAGCGGCACAGGGCGGAAACTACAGAGAAAAAGAAACAACAATAACCATAGATGGAAATACAAATAACAAAAAGAGGGACCGAGTTTATCTCTAAAATTTACATTACTCTTCAAATAATGTACCTGTTGTCAAAGTAGAAGAGTCCCTTTGCAGGGTTGACACGCAGGCAGGTAGCCACGTCTTCGTAGTTGGGCAGCGTGGCACTCAGACCAATCAGACGTACGTCCTCCTGAGTCAGCTCCACATTACGAATGGTCCTCGCCACCAGAGATTCCAGCACCGGCCCGCGATCATCGTGCAGCAGGTGGATTTCATCCTGAGAAACACCCGCTTAGCTTAACCAGAAACCTTTAGCCTAAATTCATTTTGAACATTTGGCTCAGATCAAAACATACAATGATAATGAGGCGCACAAGCTGGGTGTAGGTACGCTCTCCTCCTTTCCGAGTGATGATGTCCCATTTCTCAGGGGTGCAAACAATGATCTGAGTGGCGTTGATCTCCTCTTTGCAGAGCTGGTGGTCTCCGGTCAGCTCGGACACAATGATGCCATAACTTGCTAATCTCTGAGATTAAAAAAGGAAACACGTTAAACGTAAACCTGTCCCACAAACAACGGGAAAAAGGTCTAAAATAGTGACTCAAGACTCACCTTACTAAAACTTCCCACCATTTCCTGTACAAGTGAGCGCATTGGCGCGATGTAGATGATTTTAAAGTCATCCACGTTGATCGTTCCATCCATGTTGATGTGCTTTCCAATTTCTCTTAGCATCGCCATGAGGGCAACGTTTGTCTTACCAGCTCCCTGTGAGCAGAACAAACCCCCAGTTAAAGAAAACACATAAAAACAACAAATCACACAATATTTGAACTTTACCAAGGCCTTCGTACCGTGGGCGCACACACTAGCAGGTTTTCATCAGTCTCCATGGTGGTCTTAAACAGTTTGCTCTGAATGCGGTTTAGAGTTTTGAAGTCTTCAAATCCAGCCTGTGCGTATTTTGGCAACTTCTCAATAGCAACAAGTACCTGAAGATGAACAGATATGCAGAATGTAAAAAAAAAAAAAAAAAAGTCTACAGGCTGGGTTTTAATTACTCGATGATTAGGGAAATCGCTGAACCTCATCATCAGCAAAAGGTTTGGGTTTCAGGGCGGGCACATGGACTTCTTCATAACCTTTGCGCTGCTTACGAAAAGAGCCATCGGGCAACTGACAACGTTTGTTGGCCATGAAGTGGCTACCCTGAGTGAACGTCAAGTCTTCGAGGTCCAGAACCTGCCGAGGGACTACCGACTGTAGGATGAGAAACACAAATGTTCTCAACACACACACACTTTTACCCGGCTACCTGGACCATGTCACACTAGTTACCTCTCCATGACCAATGTCCATTGACTCCAAGTCATCAACACGAGACTTCCTCACCCTCTCCCTGCGAGATCGCTCTTCCTGAATAACAAAAACAAAATATGGAAAATCATTTCTTGCAAAGTGGTGACAAACAGTTCAAAACCAAGATGTCTTACTCTAATAATGTCCTCTTTCTCCGTCTCTTGCAGCTGGTACAGGATCTTGGACAGCTCTTGGTCAGACTCCATCTTTCCTATGATGCGTTCCTTTTCTGCTTCGCTCTGAGCGCTCGCCAGCATGGTACAATACTGAACTGTGAGTCAGACAAGATAAAAACCAGCAACTTCAAATAAGTTGTGCAACAGAACATCATAGCCCAGCGCAATTCAACGAGCGCAACTTACTCATGCGACGGTGCTGACGGAGGATTTTAATGAAATCAAAAGTGTTGAAGCCTAAAAGCAGCACCAGCTGGTTCTCACATTCCCTGTCGTCGCTGGCGGTCTGTAGAACAAGAAAGGCATCAGGTGTCAAAAGATGCTACGTTATGCTGCGTGACTAATAAAAACAGTGAAAATCCCACCTTGAGGATTTCTAAGACTTCGTCGGCTTTCTTCTGCGAGACAATAGCATCATCATAGAAGCGGCTGAGCTGACGCTGGAGCCAAAAGGCGTCAATGTCTCGAGGGTGTAGGTCTTTTTTCTTCACCGTCATCACGCCACCCGTTTCGCTAAGCTACAACAAAACAGAATACAATTTTTAAATCAGAGAGAAGAAAACTGTGGAAATACCACCTGAACCAACAAAAAGGCTGTACTTACATTGGTTGTAAGCCTAGTGGACACAACAGCCTCCTCTCCTTCACTGTCTTCATCCGAGTGCTCATCTCGTACTTCACCAAACTGGTCTTCATCTCCTTCCTTTATATAAGTAACAAGACGGGGAAAAAAAAATCACTTTTTCATTTTAATCAGTTTAAATACAACTAAGACATTAATAATTAAAACGTACTTCTTCATCAGACTCAAACTGGACATTGACACCGTACGTCTCATCAATGTTGTCATCTGCAGATAAATAACAAAAGATTTAGATGATTTGATAACAGCTTAAAGAGAACATGGTCACCAAATAAACGAAACACTTTATTAAGATATTTTAAAGTAGCTTACCCATATTCTGCAGGTCCTTGTCTTCACCATAGTCTGTGATCTTCTTTCCCAGATTGACCAGCACATGATAGCGCGTGTCATCAGAAGGTCCAAGAAGCTGTTCCACTTCACGACGCCTTTCTTTGTCCCTCATTTTGTCGTTCTTGAGCACCGCTAACACCTCATCAGCTGCTCCACACAGAATATCACGCGGCTGCAGACAATTGGAGTTCACATCAGCTGTGCGTTCGCCATCAACAGTGCAAAAGTCTTAAGTGTTGTGACGTTCACTAACCTGGTCTCCTAACGCAGCATGAATGAAGCTCAGCAACACTTCGTACGTCTCTCTGGTTTCTTTGGTTTTAGGCTTGTACACAATGCCAACCATCTCATCGATGCCCTCAGACAGGAGGGTAAAGCCTTTCATTTTGTTGATATCATGTCTGTCCTCATCTCTTTTACGTCTCCTGTTGTGAGATAAAACGGGATAGTTCAGATTTTTTTCCTCTAAACTGCAATCAATCTGCTGTCTCCTACAGATTAAACATATGCAGCTGTTCCACATCAAACCCCACTTCAAACAGCAAAACTACACCTTTTAAGTATATGGTGCAATTACATGCTTCACACGTTTGTTAATGACAATTAAAGGAGGATGAAGGTCAAAGACGGTTCTTTTCATTTCATTTAAATCTGAATAATTCTAATATTACTGTCCTAATTGAGGTATATTTCATGTTAAATGTGATCTATTCAACGTTCAAGTAAATTATAGAATGTTTTAAATTGTATAAGAGTCATACACACGAAAACACCTGTACCTCGATTCTAACAGGTAAATGGTTTTAAAAACATCAGTGTTAGCTGCACTGACTTGTCTCGTCTCTCTTCGAGCTTCTGGGGTTTGGTCCTCTGAGCCTTGTCACCCATCTTCGTCCCCTCCATTTTCCCCACCAAGGACACCACCTCCCCGGTGGATTCATCTCTCCGAGTGCGGTCGATCAGAGAACGATCGACTTGCAGCACCAAGTTTGAGTTCTACAAACACACAATTAAATGAGACCCATCAGTTCAGCGGGCTGAGCTGCTTCGGCTCCGGCAACACGATCCACTAAACATCACAATTAGGAATCACTAGTCACAGAAACGTTTAATAACCCCGAGTTATTATATTTACACCCAACATACTTACCGCTTTGTACTCATACTGCAGGTTACGAGCAGTAACATCCGCCATGGTGCCACTTTTCCTCCGGGGTTCACCGCTCTCTGTGAACCAGCACGCGCACTAGTGAAGTTCACAGAGCTGACGTCACTCTGTACTTTTGTTAAAACGCTGTGAACATTAGTAGCGTGTTCTAATTTCAAACATTAAACCACTTTTACTCACAAACAGAAAGTTGCGTTTTTCATACGTAACAAAAGCACGGCTAGCACGAGCGCACAACAAGCGGGCAGAAATTTCCTCTTCCGGTGTCAAAGGGAATGAAACAGACACAAAAGGTAAACAGCGCCCTCTAGAGGCTTGGTGTAAATCATTCAATTTGGATGTTATTCGATATTTTTACATGTCGATGGCTAAATCTCACGAAACCCAGATGGCAAAAGTTCTGACGTTCTCTAATGAAGTACAAGTACACATTTTTGTATAAAAATGCTCTGGTAAAAGTAAAAGTATTTAGTGACCGTCTTTATTTAGTAAAAAGTAAAAAGTACAGGCTCTAAACTGTACAAAGTCAACAAACAAAAATAGAGAAAGGGGGACAAAAAGAAGTCTTCCTCTGAATAAAAGATGTGTCATTGATGTACCACTGATTGATCTTTCAGATGAATTTTAATGAAACCAAGAACTATATGATGACAAAATCAAAATATTTTAGAATAGAATAGAAAATGTCCTTATTGTCCCTCCGTGGGGAAATGATTGTGTCAAAGTCACAATTACTGCTGGGTTTCCTTTGATAGGAAACTTTTAACAAGTCTCAGTGGTAAACTAAATTAATTGCACTAATTATTAGGTTCAATTGGAATGTTTACTTTGTTGTGAATTGGGAATTAATAAATAAAGTTACTGAATTGAACTGGGACCGTGTGAAGTTTTACGTAAAATAAAAACCAACATCCAATGACCTAAAAAGTCATCATGTGTACAGATGAATGTTTGTACATCATAATTCGAAATGAAAACTAATTCATGAGGTTTGGCTTCACCTCTTGGTGTCACAACAAAAAGCAAAAGGCACTTGTAATGGTACTCTCAGTAATGAGACAGAGCTTGGTTCCCTGCAGTGTTCTGCTGACATAAGAAAGAAGATTTGCTGCCTGAAATGAAATCAAAATAGTTTGATACAGTTATAGATCAGCACGTTTCCAACTCAGCGTTAGAATGGCAGCATTACTAAAACATCATTAAAAATTTAGAGGAAATTCAAAATTGAGAAATATCCAGCAGATTTATTATCCTAAACATGTCAGTAAATGGACAAATCAGGATTTTGTCATGACTCTCTTGACCTTTAACCATTGGGAGAGCCGAGATCAGAACGATCAGCAGCCTTCTCAAGTTGAGAGATCTGGCTCTCATCCTCTTCCATCCACTGCAGAGGAGGAGTAAAATTTCTCAGGGTCTTATGCACCCAAGGGGGAAGGAGGGAGAAAGAGATCAGCAGCTGGATCGGGGGAGCATCTGCAGTGATTCTGCCAGTTTGTTGTGGTGAAGAGGGAGCTAAGCAAGAAAGCAAACGTTCAGTTCTCACCAGTTGTCGTGAGCTTTGGGTAATGACTGAAAAAACAAGATCTAGAATACAAGAAGTGAACAAAAACCACTGGTGTATGTCTTTTAAATTGAGGTACCAGAGATTTGTCCTTAGAAAGCTACTCTTCCTAACGGCCACCACTAGAGGGCAGCCAATTTATATTATCCCTCGTGTGGTATGGTAATCAACATCGAAACATAATTTTACTCCCCCATACATACTTGATCTGGAATAACAGGAACATAGTGTATAAAAATAAGTCATTGTTTTTCTCTAATTGGGTTGAGAAACAGATCATTTTTGTGAATCAGTTGTATAATACTAATGGACAGCTTATGTCTTACACAGAACTCCTAAACACATATAAATTTCCGGCAACTCCCAAAGAATATGCCATACTGTTTGCTGCAATACCTACGGGTGTTAGAATGCTTTTTAAAGATGTTCTACCAGTTGTACCGCCTATTTCTCCTCCCGACCCTGTGAACACATACGTAGGAAAAGTTTGTCTTATCGAGCATAAAAACAGTAATAGGAATATTCGTGCTTTATTTCAGAGAGAATCCTTCTCTGTTCCATATGTGATTTTTTATTGGAATTCCTTTGTCACTGACATCAGTTGGGAAAGAGTATGGACCATTCCTAATAAGTATTTTGTGACAAATAAGGTCAAAGAAGTTTCATTCAAAATACTTCATAAGTGTTACCCAGCTAATCACTATATGACAAAGTTTAAGAGGGACATTGATGTGAATTGCTGTTTTTGTGGAAGCCACCCTGAGACCGTTCAGCACCTCTTCTGGATCTGTTCACATGCTACAACGTTTTGGAAAGACTTTAGCAGATTTATTATCGGACAGCTCTGCAAGGACTTTGTTTTAAAATGGGAAAATGTTGTATTTTGTTTTTTTCGCAAGCACAGAAAGGAAGATGTATACTTTGTTATAAATTTGTTAATTATTCTAGCTAAATTCTATCTCCACAAATGCAAATATAGTAACCAAAAACCTAATTTCAAGCACTATTATAGTGACACTCTATCTTACATAAAATTGATTAGTGGATCACTAAACAAAAAAGCTTTAAAAACTATATCTATTTGCACCACCTATAAGTTATTTGGATGTGTGTAACATTTCTGTAGTACACCCCCTGGTATGTTTCATTTTTGTTAAATTTTGTATGCAATTTGATTGTATACTTTCACCTTGTTCAATAAAGTTTTGAAAAAAAGGGTAATCAACATTGACATTTAGGAAATCAATCAAGGAAACCTTTTTTAAAATATTCTTTAACTGCAGCTTCCACCGGCAAAAGTAAATTTGTATTTTAAACGTGATCACTGAATTTCTATTTTGAGAAAGTTTGGATTTGTAGTTTTTTTTGAATAATCAAATAGCAACATGAAAATAGGACTCCCACCCCAATGTTTTCAGTCTGCATAACCTTTTGAGACTTATATTTTCTCTGAAGTTTGCAGCTGCGACAGATTTGTTGCACTGTTCCAGCACTAACCGCCAGATGGCAGCATTGAGACCAATAAACATTTGCTCAGTGACACTTTTGACTTGTGCATCAAACAGCCTCCAGCTGCTCTAGAATGTTCTGTGCCATCATGTGTTTACATGTGAGTTCTGTATTTATGAGCATTCACCATATAGGAATGAAAATCTTTTTACATGTTTATCTGTTGAAGTAAAAAGTTTCAGTGCTAATTTACAATACATAAATCCTAAATTTGTCAATTATATTAAATCGAAACAGAAGATTTCACCAAAAGTGAAACATGCATTTGATGTCTGGTTGTCATATATGCGGATAATATTATATCTGACTTTGCATTTGTCTCCTGCAGTGGTTTAACTAAGGATTTGTTAAATAACTACTAGTTAAGTGGCACATTCATCGCACATAGTCAGCAACTTCTCTTTTAGTAATCGTGAACTACTGATCCAGCTTTAGTCAGGAGGACCTACCTGTTAATAGACAGAACAAAACAGAACAAGAAATTCATAGTTAAGGCATGTGTAGGATGCTGAAGTCTTTAGCACAAACGAAGAGTGTGTTTTTACTGTTAAAACGTGTTTAAGTTGGTGGTGACTTATTTAAGACTTGAAAGATTTTCTCACACAGTGCAGCCTAAAGGGACTCCCCCATTGTTCCTTTGGACCTGTGTGTGAACAATGTGGTCCTTGTAGCTCTGTCACAGGAGCGTCATGAGTGTGCCTCAGCTGTCTGAGCAGCTGTTGCTGTGACGTCATCTGTGAACACACACTGTCTAGGATCTCACATTAGAGGTAAGAACGCACACACGCACACACACACACACACACACACACGCACGCACACACGCACACACACACACACACACACACACACACACACACACACACACACACACACACACACACACACACAAGCCGATGCGGTGTTAAATCAGGATTAAGTAGAACGGGATCACATTTTTCCAGCAGGCAGGGATTAATATTTCCTGTTTGACCCAGACGAGGTCTGAGCAGCCTCCAAAGTGACATCGCCAGGGCAGGTTAGCCAAGGTGAGGAATGAGGTGAAGCATCTAAACTCCCATCAAAACGAATTTTATACCACTGGCTGTGTGATCTCACTCACACACACACACACTTGGTTATCTCTCTCTGTACAGTTTTATTTACATGATACTATTCTGTTGTACTGCTGGATAGCAAGATTATACGTAATACATAAATATTAACACAGTTTGCTCTTTTTTTCATTTTTGTACAAATTTGCATATAACTAAGTCAGAAAAGAAACTCAAGCAGATACATAGTTATCATTTAAAAGAAAAACATCCTTACAGGGAAAAGGAACCAGTCAGACATACGTGTGTCAGCCAGCTATGAAAAACATACTTTTGCACAGGTATGTGCACATGCACGCGCACAAATACACACCCACTCACACATCCTCTACGGCATCCTAAAGCAGACAAACAGACCAATAGACAGATGAGAAGTTACATCTAATCTTTGTTTCTATTAATTTTCATAAATCTAGCTCTGGCATGCTCCTGTACTTCTGTAAACATGTGCTGATAAACCAGGTAGCTCAACAGCTAAAGGGGTCAGGGGACAACACACCCACACACACACCCACAGTCTGTGCTCACATGAATGTTATGTTAGCACATGAAAACAAATAAACAAAAAAAAAAAGATTCCCCCCAAAATGCACTGAATTCATGTGCCAACATCAACAAAATGAAAACAAACAAAAAATAATAAAACCACATATCAGAAAATTATCTGGAAATAAAACTCCCCCAACCCCCAAATGAGCGATACTTTAAAAACACCAATGCAGATGAAAAGTAACTCATGCATTTAATCCGTTCATTTATGCCCCTACAACACTGTAGCCTAAAAATCCCCCACCAGGCTCATCAGGAACGGGTGTTGCGTTTCCTCTCACTTTAATGCACACAGCCCTGCACCAGGTGTTGCATTACAATCTGACACCGGACCAATCAGATGCCTCGGTTAGCAAGTCCATTTTAAATGTTCAGATTACAAAGAAAGTGGGGTTGCGTTAGATTTTTACCCTAATTAGCATGATGCCTCTAGGTCTGACTGAAACAGTGTCAGCACAACCAATCATCGTCAATACAGGCGAACGGATCAAAGGGTCAACAAGGATGAGTGTCACGATGATCCACTATTCTGCTGGGGTCAAAACCACGACTAAGGGGAAGGCAATGTAGTGCAATACAGCCGCTCTGAGGTAGATAAATCTAGGAAAGACAAACCAATAAAGGATTGTGACATGGAAAGTGTTTTTAACGGTTGAGGGTCTGGTGCAGCCTTTTTCTCTATATTGTCTGAATGTTTTTGAGAGACCTGCCTGTGTCTGACACACTGCAGGGTTCAGTGAAATGACTTGTTTGGCACAAAATGTCACCTGGCAGGGGTGGGTGAAGCACAGCGCATTCCTGGACATTTTGCCTGGTCTGCTCTTAATAAGACAACATATAGTCTTAGAAAAGAAAGGGCTCAACAGAGGCAAGTTCACACCACAAAAATCTGAATAAAACTAATAAATGATTACAAAAACAAACAAAAAAAAAAGGAGAAAAAGTGATCATTCATGCATCACCCCAGACAGGATCTTTTGTTTTTTCTTCTTTTTATCCATTACTTTCTTGAGTTTGTGATTTTGTAAGTCAAGTCCTCTTGATCCTGTTAGCCACTCATGACGGTGTTCATTTCAAAGGTTCACAATCACACTCCAGTCTTTCTTATGGTGTTTCCTCATTGACAATACAGCCATTTTTTTCTTTTCCTTTTCTCTCCAACTCTATATTCTCTGGATCTTGTCAGCCACAACCACAGGATTTTCTTTACGGATCTTGGCGGCAGCCTCGGCTTTGTAATCATAGGGACAGTTGTGCTTGTCGGAGTATCGGTGGATGCCACAGAACAGGTTGCCACAGCGACAGTCGAACCCTGGAAGCAGAATTGCTGCGAGTCAAAGTCTGAACAACTACAAGACAGGTGAAAAAACAAAGACTTGATTTTTCCATCTAGGGTTGGTTCCTTCTGCTCACCTGTAAGGCCCACCCTTTTGCGACACATAAAGCACCTGTTCTTCTTGGGTTTGGGGGTGTCACCCTTGCCTTCTTCAGAGCTGGAAGAAGCTACAGGAGTCAGGCTAGATGCAGCAGGCTGATTTACAACTGTTAAAAAAAGATGTAAAAAAATAAAATTCACTAATTTGCCAAGAGCCAAAATAAACATAAATGGTTTAATTTGAGGGCCTGTTTTCCCTTGCCCCAACAGAAATCATCAGTACTCTAGTGTAAGAAACACTCTAGTCGACAGGAACAAATCAGAGTGTCCTCAGGTTTAAAAGGTATTTTTAAACAGGTCTATTTTTAGACACCATCTCCTTCTGGAAGCTGTAAGTAAAAACCAACTGTTGACTTTAAAGTACGCAGCACAGCAGAAAAAATAAATAAGCTGTGGTTGTTCCTTAAGACATCTGAGAGCTATCAACGGTGTGTGACAATATGTTCTGGGATATGTCTGCTATACAAACAAGTGCGAGTGTGTGTTTTACCAGGCTCTAGAGGTTCAGACTTCTCCTCTCTGGAGATGCTCATTTCTGTCATCTGTTGAGTTACAGGAAGAGATCCTTGAACGGCCCTGTGGGTTGGACATAAATAGGAAAGCAGTCAGTCAGCAGTTCACATGAACTTAAACAGTTTATTAACGAGCACAAACACAAAAACGCCTCAGCTGGTACCGACCGAGACATGTCTGGTGAAGAGGCAGGAGAGGCTTCAACCTTTGCTAGACTGGCTTCTAGTCTCTGAATGGCTGAGGCCTCTGAGGTAGGACTAGCAGTGGAGCCTTGATTTGGAGAAAAAGAAACAAAAATTAAACACACACAAATAGAAGACCAAAGGGACCCAACACACACCAAGTTACTTATTTCACAACCAATAGATCCAAATCTTTTCAGTCATCTTACCCATCGGGCTGAGGGGGCTCATGCGGTCGCTGCTCTGCTGTCGCGTCAGGTGTTCCTTGTAACACACAGAGCACATGCCATTGGTTCGTGGGTTGCCATAGAAACCACAGCCCATGGCACAAAGCATGGGGACTGGGCTCTGGTTGGTCTCTTGAGCCATTGCTAAAAGGAGAGACGGAGAGGGGGAGAGAATGCTTAGTGGACCGACAGGCACAGAGAAAACTTTTGTCTCGGCACAAACACTTCCGTCTGAAACACACTAAAGCAAAAGTTTCTCTGTTGATCTAGTTCCAGGGAAAAGATGACAGATAACAAAGGGAATGATATGAAAATTCAAGAACAACACACCTGGCTACTTTGACTTGCCCTTTAGTCTGAATACAGTAATGAGAGCTCAGGAAACCAGAACAAACAACACACTCGGTCCTGTTCAGAGCTTTCAGTAAAAGCTGGATGACTTTGTCCCTTGAGCTCCTCCTGTGGCAGATCTGAAAACAGTTCTCTACTGTTTAACCCAAGCATTGCCCAGCCATCTTGAGGAAGATCGTTTTAATCAACTGTACTGTTGTCAAACTCATTTCATTATTTCCTTGTAGCTAGAACAACTGTATCAACTTCTGGCTTGCTCTCAGGAGAACTTAGAGGAACGTTGTTATTATTCACAACTGCTAACATTTCCTTATCAGGGCATCTGCTGTACTTCCTTTTTTATACAACTAGATGTTCTGACTCAGTGGCAGTACACCTCACCACAACAGAACAAACATTTCTCATCAGGTGAAATGACATTCTGTTCCCGAAAGATGATAAACCACATAGATCAGCAGTTTCCAAAGATGCCCCGTGCTCCTGGTAATAAAAAGTACTACAAAGGTTTATGTGTCATCGATCAGTGCAACTCCAGTCGGTAAACAATCCTGTATGAGTGCAGTTTGGCAGAACAAGTATCTCTGTGACGTAGCAATCCCGCCTTTGCTGCAATACAACAGGAAGTTGTGTAATAGGAGATGCAGACTTTTACGCAATAGATCAAAAACCTCTACGACAAACAGGGAGGTGGGGCGGACCTAGATTAGTAGGGTAAAAAGCTTCCTCTACGCCCGCCCTGCCTGGACAGTTTCAGGATCCATCTGATCACATCTCCCTTATAAACAACCTTCAGCTCTGCTCTGATGCAACACAACAGCTGCTCACTTTGCTGAAAATCATTCCTAGTCTGATCACAGACAAGAGCAGGCAAACCAAAACATTCAAGCAGAGACAGAAAGGTGTTTTGGAAACGTCCTGCAAGTTTATTTGAAGTATGCCAAGTACTCAACATTCTTCAGCAAACAGCCAAACCCTGTTTTGCTCTCTCTCTCTAAAGGGAGTCACCAGTGTCAACAAAGAAAGTCACTGGAAAAACGCAAAAAAGACATTGTTTGCTTCTTGACAAAATACTATAATTATACTGTTACTGATTCATAACTGGGGCTAAATCACACCAGAGACATAAAACATGACTACAGAAGTTAAACGTAGTAACTGCTGACTTTCAGACACAAACAATGAACAGCAAGGCTCAGCTGTCAAATCTGCTCCAGCAGTCACTGCAAACAACTGGCACGTTCCTTAAATATTAACCCATAACTCACAAAAACAAAGATAAGGAAAGGGGAAAAACACTCTCTGCTTGCAATTTTGCAACACAGCATATGAGGAAAGGTTTAACTGTTATTGACTGCCCAGGGAGAGCCGGGGGGTTTCCAGCAAAGGACACATCACCAGTCACAACCACAGTTTCCTTTCTTAAGTTATTGCAAATCGTTGCAGCAGCAAACGCTGAGAACTGCTGTTTTGACATGTTGTCAGTGTGATGAGCCCACTCTGAAGGAGACACATCAGAAGCAAACAAAGAGGAAGATTGTTGCTTGTTTATCAGCTGCAAACTTTGCTCATATTTCAGGCCTTTGCTGTGGAAACTCCTTAGTCAGAGTGAAGGGCAGGCCACAAACAGTCCCCCTTCAACTGTTTTAGCAGGAAATTGATACCAGTTTTAAAAATTTGCATTTAAAAACAATAATCTGACAGGGAGCTAGCAGCGCTGATCGTTCGTGAAACAACCAGGTCTAGACAGTGTGGTGTCTGCTTTCTTTGTTTCTTCTTTCTTCCTTTGTCTGCAATCTCCCTGCTTCCTGTTTAGACATCGTTTATACATCTCGGATTTATGGCAGCGTTTGTACCAGTTCACACGTTCTGCGTGTTTTCAACAAATCAATTTGACCAGAAAGGGTTGTATAATCACGATTAGGCACTTAAGAGACGGCTAGGTGGCTTCACAAAGTCTTAGCAAAGACCGAGCAAACCTCGTCCAAGACGGATCTACAGCTAAACGCAGGTAGTTAGCTTGATCCTATAATATCAAAGCAAACGCTGTGTGCTCATTTCAGAGCAAGTCTCTCGCTCTACTTGTCTATTCTGCTTATAAATGTTCTATTTGTTGACAGGAATTAACATACTGTGGCTCCCCCATCCCCCAGCTCGTGACAAACTGAAAAGCAGACAGGACTAGCTAGCTCCCTCCCTTGCTTTTTTCCCCCTCTCCGTCTGGTTTCTGCTGGAGTCACGTTTGAAGACTTGTGATATTTCAAGTCAGGTGGAGGACATGTTGGTGGCAACTTACAAGAGCTAAGACAAAAAGGATGTTCACCACACAGAACCCATCACACCGCCTGACCTTTTAAAGCCACAGTTAAAGGTCGCCATGATCGACCATCACCTGAATAGAAACACTCGCCTCTTGCTTGTTTATGTCGATACATTCAGCTCAGTTAAAATTCAGTAAAAATGAATAATAATCAAGAATGATCACCTGCTTAAAAATGATGAATTTCTCGCGAGAGGGTGAAATAAAGTGACTGTTTGAACGAAAAATGTCGACGGTTTCCGGTCCGAGTAAGTCTTGGCGTCTTTGTAGCGGCGTTTAATGAGTCTCCGTCCCCCTCGTCCGATTAGATTAAACGGTTTTGGCTGTCCTCTCCTCTCCTCGGCCTCCTGCCTTTCCTCCTTCCTCTCGCCGTGTCCTGTCCTCTTCTGGATGGATGTTTGTTTCCTTCTTTAGCTAGAGAGGAGTGGTGGATGATGTCACGGGTAAAACCAATTGGCTACCCGTGGAGCCCCGAGCGGCTGTCTGACGCTGTGAGGGCATGAAGGCGGGGAGGAGCCGGGCGTGCGCATGCGCAAAACCAACATAGCGTTAGGTTATTACATGTCTATTCGTCATCCACATACAAGGACACGGGTCCATTTACTGAGTAATACACCTAAGTGAATGAATAGTTGTGCTAAAATGTTTGCTTAACAAGGAAATCCTGTTTGTAATGAAACCTTTATTGTATATCAGAAAAGATTTTGCTTGTTGAGAACCCTGCTATTATCTTTGTGGTAATTTCTACCAAAGAAGCAGATTTACAACTTGAAATATGGAGTCAGTTGGTTATGCCGTGCCCCCCCACACTCTATAAAAAAGTAAGACAAAAGCAAGCCAACATAATAATAAATTTCACAAAATAACAGTTGCAGGAATTATAAATGTCATCACTGGGTTATTTATTTGTTTTTGTTTTTTGCTAAAAAGATAATTTTTTTGAAAGTCCTAAATTACTTAAAAAGTATCTAAATCACCAAAACTATATGTCCAAGTTTAAACTTTTTACTCAGTTTAACTGAAATACAACCCGCTCATCCTAGTTACAAGAAAGCACATGCTTTAAAATTCTCATAACTCAAATTTGCAGCAGAAAAACACCAGATTTTAAAAAGCACACTTAGACAGAAGTACACACAGGCACGTGGTGGTGGTGTAAACACATCTCGTGAGTGGTGAAATAAATGTGCTGACTAGCACTAGAGATCACGGTGCTTTCTGGTCTGTTGTAAAACTATTATGAAATTGGTATTTTGGTTGTAAAGCGGATTGTGGCTCCACTGAGAACATATTGGAAAAGCTACCAGTTTTGTTTAAGGGATTCTTCTAATCTACTGAGAAGAAAACAACAACAACTAAAGTTTAACAGATTACACATGAAGTGTGGAAGCCCATTCCCACCACTCAGATAGAAAAATAATTATCTCATAATAATGAGATAGCGAAGTGATATTTGTGAGATTCTATCTTATTAACATATCTTTATAAGGAGGATTAACCTCTTGCGATGAAACATCTAGTTTTCAAGGGGGTCCTCCATTATTTCAGATCAAGAACGAACAAAAAAGCAGATCGGAGATCACAGACACAAGCAGCATTACAACCTCAAAATATATACCGGTAGTCAGTGATTACCACACACACACACACACACACACACACACACACACACGCACGCACGCACGCACGCACGCACGCACGCACACACACACACACACACACACACACACACACACACACACACACACACACACACAATGACTCACAATACTCAAACTCTAATTTCCCTCAGGGATTAATAAAGTATCTTTTAATTTGAATTTGAAACCCACCCCTCAAGCACAAACCCCACTACAGACATGAAGTAAAGACAACCACAGGTCTGAACTAATGAACAAACTTGACTGAACAACATAAATAAAATATATAAATAACCAGTGAGAGCAGAAGTCAAAGAAACATAATTAGAAACATTGACAAATGTTCTGAAAATAATCACTCAAGGCTCTGCCAAACATTCTAAATGAAGATATGGACCGAAGAGATAAGGGGCCTTAAAACTAAAAGCATATTTCCCTACTTCTCTTTTAACTCAAGGAACATGACTTAGTATCTCCTAATTATGACTTAGTATCTCATAATTATGACTTAGTATCTCATAATTATGAGATAGTATCTCTGACTATTTCATAATTATGACTTAGTATCTCATAACTATGAGATAGTATCTCTGACTATTTCATAATTATGACTTAGTATCTCATAACTATGACTTGAGATACCCAAGTCAGAATTATGAGGTAGCATCTCATTATAATGAGATAGCTAATTCATAATTGTAAGATAATTGTTTTAAATCTGAGTGCTGGTAATGGGCTACCATACAAGAAGAGTTCTTAGAAAATGAACAAAAAAGACAAATACACTACAACAATGAGGAGGTGGATCCATAAATTCAACACAAATCCTAACTTGATTGTTTACTAAGTATAAAAGGTGTGATTATTTTACATTCGCAGACCTTTAAGATGATCGTGTAAAGGGAAGTTTCACCCTAACTTCGGTTTTTGACAGGCATGTGAATACATAATTTGATAATGACATTTCTTTGTGGTGTGTTATTTGTGCTCTATTGTTTGCCCTGAGGTTCAACAAGTCTAAACATATTCCCCCACCTTTTCAGCATTACGTCAGACACACATCCTTGGGCGCTGCAGGCAGCTTTGTTGAGCAAGCAATCACTGGTGGTGTTGGTGTGCTCTCTGAGGGAACATGCTGTCTTCTATGAGTGTGTGTATTCATGGAATACATGGACGAGTAGGACAGAAGTCACAGTTTGTTCAGATGGATTTAAACTGGAAGTGAAGCACGATGAAAGCAAAAATAGGAGCTGTTGTGAATTTTCCTGGTATTTGTCAAGGGGAATGAGGGTACTCTCTCTTTCTCTCCCCCTCTACCAGAAACAGAAACATGCACACACACAGCCAGCAGTGCTTTCAGATATTGAACATGTACACAAATGGACTACAGGCAAGTTGTTGATGTTTAACAGCCTGAAACGGGCTGGAATTACATTGTGTATTTTCTTTGTTTCTTTACACAACTTTACCCTGACAACTGGCATGGCACTAGTGGGTTACACATTTTATCCACGTTTTACAGCCTTGAAGAATTTAAGTCTAAACAAATAGTTGATCAATAACACAAATCAATAGAAAGGAGTCACCTTTACCATAGGGCTTAAAACACATTCTATTATCTAATGTTCATGTTATCATTTTTATCATCTGCTGTCTAAAGGATAAAAAAAAATGGCAACTTTGTTGAGTTGGTAGTAATCTCCAACATGAGATTATTAAGCCCTGGATGGATTTTAATGACGCTTTCAGAAATGAACTAATTCATCAACATCGTTTGTAGACGGTCTAAGTCAAGGTGACTGTCACAGCCAGCTGAAATTGGAAATCATAAAAATTGGCTATGACTTAATTTAATCGATTTTCAGATAAAATCTGCATAATTTGAGCTAACAGATTTTACAAAACAGCTTGAAAATGCGTGCAGTTTCCAAGAGTCTGCTGGAGCTCCATCGTTCTTCTCTTTTGATCTATTCACTTAGAACTTTAGAATGAAAGGCAGCAGGTGATTCGCATTATGTCAAGGAATTCTAGACCCTTTAATTACACGATCTGCTGTGAGGCTAACACATACAGGAGTAGTATCACTCCTCTGTTGTTCAGACTTTCGCTCAAAAGCTCTTCACAACATGAGAGGGTATGGGGTGGGGGAAGGAAAGGAAACCTTGTCTGTGTTTTACACTGAGCTCTTTGTGTTTGAGTGTGGTGTTAATGCAGAGCAGAAGAGAAGGAGCATGTGTGTGGTTAGTATGTGAAGGTTCATGGGTTTCAGCGAGAGGAGGGGGCAGCTGAGGCGAGACCATGGTGTTGAGTATCATTTACCCACCCCCCTCGCTGTCATAGCCTGGCCTGTAGACATGTGCTTTATGTGGGATGTAGGTGTTTATTCTTTGTTTTTTTTCCTCCCCCTGACTATGACGGACGCACGTGAGAGACTGGAATTGACAAAGTTGCCATGACAACAGATAGTACAATTTACAACCATGTTTTCTCTCTCTCTCTCTCTCTCTCTCTCTCTCTCTCTCTCTCTCTGTGTGTGTGTGTGTGTGTGAGATTGATAGTCTGTATGTATGCATGTGTGTGTAAGAGGCTGTGAGGATTACTTCTGTTGAATCTGGAGCAGCCTGTTTGTAGTTACTAGGCAGATATTGGCCCACCACACACACACACACACACACACACACACACACACACACACACACACACACACACACACACACACACACACACACACACACACACACACACACACACACACACACACACACACACACACACACAGAGCTTGTGTCTGGCTTTGGTGCGTTGAGGCACTGTTGATAAAGGGACTAGTGGTGGGGATGGCAGCTTATCTGTTTATAGAAGCTGCGTCTGGGGCAAGATAAGCTCTGCTCAGTATCAAAACCATCCCCTCAACAACTCCAGCACTGTCTGCCAAACGCTGTCACAAAGTTAGCAGTTACGCGTTAATGAGCTCAACCCAGTAAAGTTAAATGTGAAACAGGAACAACAAATTTGTGTGAATCACGGTCAGTTTTATTTAAAATTCGTACATTTTTTGTATTTGTGCAAAAACCATGGGATACTTGCTGTAGATAGAAATGAAGCTGAAACACTTTTAAACAGCAGACAACTGTCATATGTAATCCACAGCTAAAAGTCCATTTGAAACTACTTATGTTTATCTTCTCAACATGTGCGTATGGACAGTTCTTGACTTTTACTGGTGTGATTGTACTCAAGCGGTTGTTGTGATTCTGTGAGTGACCGCACGCCTGCAAGTCTTGATCTAATGCTGCATGTGAGTGTGCATGTGGAGGTCAGAGCATGTGTGTGCAGCAGACGTCCAGTGTTCAGCTCTGCTCTCTTTCCCAGACTGGCTGGTCTTTGTCGCTGTTCCCTCGTGCAAACGAGTACAGCCACGTGCTTATGACTGTGGGGACAGGCCACGCCTTTCCCTCCTCTTTCTCCCCTAATCTGTCAGTTTCTGTGGCCAAGTCCTGCCCTCAACACCACCCGAGCGTGCCTCCCTGCTGGATGACGCTGCTTTTACTCATGCATGATTACAGGGCTTTCTGTGTTTGTGCCTCAGACTCACCTAAACATGGAGGTTCCTCTTCTAACACTTGGGCTTAGGTTCTTTTTTGATCTGCATAGTAAAATGGCTTGAAACTCCTTGTTTGTCATTTTAACAACAACCACAAACGGGGAAGGAATTCAGTTACAGGGAAAACAAAGGAGGGAGAGATTCAAGTGGAGATGAGATGAGTTTCAAATTGAAGCATGTTGATAAAAGCACGTCGTTCTGTG